GCTCTGCCCAGCAGCAGCCAGCAATCCTGACAGTTGAAAATGTCTCCTGGGGGCAGAATCACCCTGGGTGAGACCCCGTGAGTCAGGGGCCCCAAGAAACTCTGCGTCCATGGCCACCTGCCTTGCTGAGGTCCCAGGTCATTTGTCATATTGACATCCACATGTTGAGTGGAGAAGAGAGGAATCTGGCTCCAGATGCTGGGGCACCCTTGGTCACAACACTGGCTCCTTTGCCAGCAAAATTGTCAGCAATGAACACAAGGCTTTTTCCCTCTGAGTACCATGGACAATGGGACGGGATTGCTCTCTGTGGGGGCGCCCTGGTCCCTGCAGAGTGCTGACCAGCATCCCTTGCCTCCATCCACATACATGTCCCCAGGCAATACTAAGGTTCCCAGGGGCCAGAGCACCCCTGCTTCAGAGGGTCAAGGTCATGTCTAACTTCCTTGCCACCTTGGGAAGAAACCCGAGCTTCCCTTAGCTGCAGACTGACAGGGAGAGAGGTCCGGGCACTGTGGGTGGCTGCGGGGTCTCCTTGGTGGGGCTCAGTGTGGCACCCTGTAACCACACACGTGCTGTGTATGTTTTCTGTGTGGCAGCAGTGGCTGGGACCATCTGTGAGCAGAACATGGTAGGCTTTTGACTGTACATCTTGGCAGATCTGGCAGAGAACAGCTTGTCCACAGAGGACTGATAATAATGTGAATTTCAGCATGCCATCCTAGGACAGACGGTAAGGCGGTGACCAGCCAGCGGGAAGGAGCAGCTCCAATTGGAGGCTGGTGCTGGAGTTTGTTCCCACAGGAGTGAGTGCCACTCTCCAGATAAAAGGCTCTGCTAATGCTTTTAGCAGAAACCTTCAAAAACTCCCTGGAGAACAAGGAACTCTCAGAAAAACACTCCATGCTATCGGGAGGTCACAGGGAACGTTTATGCTCCAAACAATACAGTTAGCAACAAGGCAGGGCCCCCCCACTGTGCACAAGACTGTCCTGGGCCCTGCAGGTGCTGAGCAGCGCCCATGACCTCCACCCACTCTATGCCAGGAGCTCCCTGGTCATGACAGTCACATGTCCCCAGATGTCACCTAGGTTCCCTGGGGACAGAAGGTCCTCAGTGCTGGGATGAGAAACCAGGCATCAATTTTTAGGAAAACAATTGAGTCGCCTCCCTACACACACCAGACACCAGAATCCACTTGCGATGGAGCTGACAGTGTGAACCAAGGGTACCCCATCTTGTGGACTGACCTCCGTCCCCCGCACACACACCAACTCAATCCCAGCAAGCACAGGCTCATTGTCACCCTGGGATATGGAGCCAGGGAGACACATACCACCATCCTGCATACTAGGTGCCAGCTCTACCCTGTCACAGAGCTAAGTGGCAGCTCTGGATTGTGCCAGCTCTTTCCAGGGAGGGAGTGACTGTCTCCCCAGGGCCTGATGGTGGGGCTGGCTACTGTGGCTGCATGTCCATGATGGGGTCCTGGTGAGTGCCAGGATGAGGCACTGCTAAAGAGCAGGCCTGCACCTTCTGGCTCCTAGATGTGCAGGAACAGGGCTGGCATGGAAGTAGCCGGGGGTCTGTGCGACAGGGGCCACAGCCAGGCTGACCAGTCGCCAGGTTTCCCTGGATTGCAGGATTCTGAGAAGCAGAAGCAGAGGCAAATGTTCTGGGCAAACAGGTTGCTCACAGCACTCTAAGAGGGGTTGTGGCAGGCATCAAAGATGGGGCCCCCATCCCCACGGCCCCTCCCTCCAGGATCAAGCCAACCGTGGGCCTCCTCTGCCCCCTGGTGGCTTCTGGTGGTAACAGCATGCTCTAAAACCATCCCAGCCCAGGTCCCCCGAGCAAGGTTCCCCACGCTGATCTGTCTTACAGAAAATCAGAGCTGTGGGTCAGAGCACTGGTCCTGTGTCCACAAGGGTGGCTGAAGCACTCACCGGGAGACATGGGACCTAGCCTGGAGACAGCAACTCAGGGGACCCAGCCCGAGTGTGGCTGCTCTCAGAGCCTCCATCTTGTCCCCTATAGGGAGAAGAAGGGTGCCAGGCTGCGGCCTGTGCTGTGGTCACCTGCAGGGAGGGCACGCTGAATGAGTGACAGCTGTTTGCTTAAAATGCCTGGCACCCTGGTCCTTCCAGGAGTCCTACTGGAAAGGGTTGTGCCCTTGTGGCAGAGAATACCCAAGGCTGTGTGGCTCACGATTCTCTTCCCCAGCATGGCTTCCAGGCTCAGAGTGACCAACGTGGGGTGCCAGGGCACTGAGCAGCATCCCCCACCTCCACTCCACGCCAGGAGCTCCCCAGTCATTACATCCAAAAAACTACCCTATTTTACCAAGTGTCCCCCGCTACAGGAGTGGGTCAGAATCACCCCTGTGAGCGTAGCTAAATTTCACATGGCCCTAGACTTAAGTGTAAAATGCTCAAGCCATGTACAGATAATTTTTTAAATAATCTTAGAATTTGGAAGAATGGCACAAAAAAACAGCACGGACTACAGAACTGTTTAAAATCCGCTGTGGGAAAACCCTCCGCGCCCAAAGTCAAGACCTGCACATGCTCAGAAGATTTGCAAGGCACAGAGACAGAGTCCAAAGACAGCCCTCGGCCTCCCCTGTCACCGTGAGTTGTGACTGCCCGTGTGACAGCAGCACGGTGGATTAAAGAGCTGTAAGAGTCACCCATGTCACTGCACACAGCTCTGCCAGCCTCAGGCAAGTCACGCGGCTGTGCAACCATTGACATCTACTTCTAGAATACTGTAACCAGTCCCCAAAGTTACCCCAGCCCAGGCAACCTCTGACCTACCACCTTTCCTAGAAATTTCCTGTAAGTAGAATCATACAAGGCGCAGTCTTCTATGCTTTTAGGACTGGCTTCTTTATGTACATAAGCTTTTTTCTTTTTTTTGGCAGTAGTAGAGTTTGAACTCAGGGTCTCATTCTTGTTAGGCAGGTGCTCTACCACTTGCGCCACTCCGCCAGCCCTTTTTTGTGATGGGTTTTTTCGAGATAGGATCTCGTGAACCATTTCCCTGGGCTGGCTTCTAACTTCAATCCTCCTGATCTCTGCTTCCTGAGTAGCTGGGATTATAGGCGTGAGCTACTGACGCCCAGCTCATTATGTTTTAAGTAAGTGTGTTTTAAATTTTTTCTGTTGCCACTGCTGCCTCTCCCAATGGTCAGAAAGGAAGTATTACAGTCTACTAGAGGCTTAAAAAAATGTCTGCTAATGATGATACTAAAATTATTTCTATGGGGCTTATCATTCATATATATATATACACACACACACACACACACAGACACACATGTATGTATGCATATATTTACCCTTATTGAGGTACACATTAATGTCATTAAACTCAAGCAAAGTGTACAAGTTAAATATTTTCAGCAAGGGCTGGTGGAGTGGCTCAAGTGGTAGAGTGCCTGCCTAGCAAGTGTGAGGCCCTGAGTTCTAATCCCAGTAGAACCCCCCAAAAAACAAAACAAAAAAACAACCCACAGATTTTCATCAAGTTCACAGGGTTAGGAGACACCCCTTGTATAGATCTAACGGTTCCCATTACCCTTAAAAGACCGGGGACGCACAGACAGCCCCAGCCTCCAGCTACAGACTCTCCCTACAGACTCTGCCTTACTTCCTGAATCACACAGCAGGGCACTTTCCTGATTTATTTAAATGACTTCCTCTTCCTCCTACATTTTGAAAACCATTTAAAATCTTCTGAGAAGAAGCTTAAATACCAGGATATGGGTCTTAGTTTTGGTCTTGTTAAAAGAATCGTCCAGGTCTGGTGGAGAGGCTCAAGTGGTAAAGTGCCTGCCTAGCAAGTGTGAGGCCCTGAGTTCAAACTCCGGCACTGCCAAAAAAAAAGAATTTTCACCACTGGGGCTCAGTGGTGAGCACTTGCCTAGCATGAGTCAGGCCCTGGGTTTATCACCAACATGGCAAATAAATAAATAAATAAAAATTTTAAAAAGGAATCTTCCAGAAGTCACTAGAATGTTCCCCAGACAGTGGACGATGGGTGCCACAGCTTGGATGTGGTCATTCCCAAAGGTTCAGTGTGGGGAGCTGGCTCCAATAGAGGAATTCAATGTGACAGCATTGAAAGGCAGTGGGGCCTTTAACAGGTGGGGCTCAGCAGGGCTCACACCTATAATCCTAGGTGTGAGGAGACTGAAATTGGGCGGATCAAAGTTCAAGGCCAGCCCAGGCAAATAGTTCGAGAGACACCATCTCTAAAATAACCAAAGCAAAATGGACTAAATGGAAATGTGACCCAAGCAATAGGGTACCTGCTTTGCAAGTGCTAAGTCCTGAGTTCAAACACCGGTCCCACCAAAAAAAAAAAAAAAAAAATGAGGCGGGGCCAAGTGGGAGGGAACAGGGAGGTGACCACCCTCCTGAAGGGACTGGTGCTGGACGGCTCATCACAAGTGTGGACAGTTGCCCTCACAGCAGGGCAGCTGACATACAAGAGCGAGCCAGCCTTCCTGCTCTCTTGCTTTTCTCACCGTGTGATCGCTTTTGTGTATGACACTCCCCACTTGCCCTGAGCTCCTCCTGAGATGGGTATGACACCACCTGCCCTGTTGTGGTGCAACACAGGGTCCTGACTACATGCAGCCAACCATCTCACCTCCAGAACTTAAACCAGAACAAACCCTTTTTCTTTAAGTCACCCAGCCTCAGGAGTTTTCTCACGGCAACAGAAAACAGACTAAGACAACAAAGTTTCAAATGTGAATCACCTCCAAAGACTTAGCTCTGTCTGTGCTTTCTGCCCTGGTGCTGTCTGGGATTCTCGAGCCCCATTGGCACTGTGATCTCTAGCCTCATGGCAGGACATGTTGCCAGGAGCCATCCTTTGCCCTCAGGGCCAAATTCCATTGCTGTGGCAACCAACACCTTGCTGTCATCTTGGCTTTAAAAGCACCCTTCGAACATCGAATGCAGAGCAAAGAAAAATATCACAGCACCTACCTGTGCCTGAGACCCCGCTGTCCCCAGCCCAAGGTTCCAACAACAAGTTTTCACTCCCTAGAAGAGAAACACAGCACATTAGCTTGGGGACAGCACCAGCAAGGGGCAGGTTATATATATAAGACAGCAATTTGCCAAAAAGATGTGTTAGAAACATAGGCGTCATTCCTGGTGAATCTTGCCTGTGTTTGAAAAGTAAATTGAATGTAGGGGTCAGCAGTTATGACTTTTTTGTTTACAAAAGATGATCATCTAGAAGGCTGGGTGTGGTGGCTCACACCTATAATCTCAGCTACTCAGGAGTCAGAGGTAAGAAGAGCACAGTCCAAGGCTGGCCCCGTCAAAAGCTCAAGACCCTATCTGAAAAGCAGACAAAGCAAAAAGGACTAGTGGCATGGCTCAAGTGGTAAAGCCCCTCCCTAGCAAGTGCAAGGCACTGAGTTCAAACCCCAGTACCACAAAAAAAAAAAAAAAAAGAGAGAGAAAAGAAAAATTGCTCATCTCCATCACTGGAGCTTCCTGTCCCCTGGGGAGCACAGGGAGAAGGCCAAGTCAGTGCTCTGCCCCCAAAATGGCCCACCGGGGGACCAACTCATCTAGGTCTGCCCGAGAAGTCCTGGTGTAGCAGGAAAAGTCCCAAGGGCGGGAACTTCCCAGTCCTGGGTGACCGGGGATGGGTGGTCTTTGAGAAGCACAAAGCCACCCCAAAGCCCAAGACTGTACTCAGAAGGTGGCAGCCAGGCCGGCCCTCGAGGCGCCTGGGGACGTGGCCTGGGGCTCCTACCCTCCCCGGCAGGACAGGCTCCTGGTTCTGAACCCCCATGGTTTGAGCTCAGCCTCATTCTCTTCTGGAGTCTGGGGTCTTAGCCCATGGTCCCCCAGTAAACAAAACAATCCAGGTGCTGGGTCTCTGTGAACTTGCAGTGACAGCACTCCACATGTACATTACAGCTCCTTGCTGGGGACAAAGCAGGTCCTGTGTGGCTGCCAGGAGAGAATTCTGTAAGCCCCACCTGGCTTCCCCAGCCCCGCCGTGGGCCTTTCCCCAGGGCTGGCTCTGCTCTGTGCCTGTCACTGTCAACCACAGCAGTGAGGACAGCCAGGGGTCAGATCCTGGTGTCCTCTGAGGAGATCACATTGCCTGGGGTGGCCTTGGGACCCTGACACTCTCCAAATAATTAATGTAGCAGGTTGGGGCTTGGTGGGAAAGGGGGCTGGAAATCGTGTTGCTTGGCTCAGGAAGCCAGGGTATAGCCATGGAGAACTATCCCACAAATCCCAGTGACCTGGGTAAGCAGCTGGCATGGGGCAGGAGCTAGCCCCATCACACCCAGCCCCTTTCCTGAAGATTAAACAACATCATTTCATAAAGATTTTTGCATACAGTTGGTGCTCAATAATTGCTGGCTTCACCCGACAAATGACAAGAAGAATCACACTTCTGGAAATTTGTTCCAAAAACTCATAACCACAATTTAATCATGAGAAAACATGACACACCTAGGTGAGGGACATCTGTAGGACACCTGGCCAGGACCCCTCAAAGCTGTCATGGTCACAGAACACTAGAAAAAAAGCCATCTGGGAACAGTCGACTCCCATCTCTAATCCCAGCTACTTAGGAGAATCTTGTTTGGAAACAAGCCTGTCACAAAAGTTAATGAGACCCCATCTCAACCAACAAGCTGGGCTTGGTGGGACCCATCTATGATCCCAGTTATTCAGGAGGTATAAATAGGATGACAGTCACAGGCCGAAAAAAATATTCTATCCAAAACATAAACAGCTGGCGAAGTGGCTCAAGTGATAGAACACCTTCCTAGCAAGCGTGAAGCCCTGAGTTCAAACCCCAGTACTGCAAAAGATAAAATTAATTTAAACTTTCCATTAAAAATACGTTTAATGCTGCTTTTGTGCTGAGCTGGCACTAATTTGCAGTCAGGAGGGCGGAAATCCTGTCCGTCGCCTGCAGGGGGCACGCTTGCTGCACTTATGTCCTGACGGCCCTCGGGGACCCGCAGCAGTTGGAAACTGCAGGAGCTTGGGACAGGAGCTGCTGGGGCCCTGAGGCAAGAGGGGCCACCCAGGCAGCAGCGTCAGCAGGGATGCGTGATGATGAGCAGCATGTAGCACATAACATAAAGACTCACAGGAAGTTGCAAAGACAGCAGTGACACTTTTTACAACTAGGGGACATTATCAAAACGAGGAAACTAAGAGAGGCCAAGACTAATTGCGAAGAGTTATTTTGGGGGATACTGCTCACTGTATGATTTGCTCATTGAAAGTGTACCATCCCCTGGTTCTAGAACACTCCACCACCCCAAAAGGAAGTCCTGTCCCCACAAGCAGTCACTCTGTCCCCTCTCCAGTCCCTAGCCCCCACAGGTCTATGTCCTGCCTCTGGATCCTCCTGTTCTGGATGTGTCACACACTGTGGCCTTTTGTATCTGTTGAGCACCGTGTCCTCAAGGTCCCTCCACATTGTGGCCTGTGTCAGAGCCTTGTCCTGTTCACCGCTGAGTAATATTCAGGTGGGGATGGACCATGCTGTTTGTCCCTTCCTCCACTGAAGGACACCCGGGTAGTCTCCATCTTTTGGCTGCTGCGAGCACTTGTCTTACAAATCATGTTTAAGACGGTGTCTCACCTTCCTGTCCCCACTCCCAGCTGATGTCCCTGAGCCCTTGAACGTGAGACATGAGGTGACCACTGTGGACCCCTCTGGATCTTCAGCCCACTCCAGCCCAGCTGGGATGGGAGGACAGTACCGTGGGGCGGGGGGACACAGATGAACAGCTCTGTGCCTGGGCATGCGAGGGCCAGGCTGCACATATTGGGCTGTCCCCCACTGACCTCCACTTGCTCCCTCAGCCTGGGAAATGCTAGGTTTTTGTGTCCCCCATGTGGATGAGTCATAAGCCCTGTGATGGGTAGAGGTGGCAGGAGGGTGACAGGCCCTTCCACAGCCAGGGCCCTCTCTCCGGAAGTCTGTGATTTCAGTGTGGCCACAGCGAGGCAAACAAGGAGCCCTGGGTGCTGTCTGGCCAGCAACTGTGCCCCTCACTGACCATAGACGCCACTTGTCAAGGGAGAGAAAACAATCAGACATCTGGGATGGTGGCACCCAGGTGCAGGGGAGACCCTGTAGAAAGGACTGTCACCTACCTATGGAGTTCAGTCTGAACTGTGTCCTGGTAAGCACTACACAAGCCATGACTCAACTTTGCCTAAGTGTTACATTTTCTCTCTCTCTTTCTCTCTTTCTCTTTTGGTGGCACCGGGGACTGGGGTTTGAACTCAGGCCTTGTATTTGCTAGGCAGGTGCTCTATCACTTGAGCCACACCTCCAGCCCTTTTGGCTTTATTTGTCTTTGAGATTGGGTCTCACATTTCACCTGGGCTCCCTGGGACCACAATCCTCCTACCTGCAGACCCCTGAGTAGCTGGGATGACAAGTGCGTGCCGCCATGCCTGGCTTATTGGTTGAGATGGGTTCTTCTGAACTTTTTGCCCTGCCTGGGCTCAAACCCCAATCCTCCTGATCTCTGCTTCATGAGTAGCTGGGATTGCAGACGGGAGCCACTATGCCTGGCTAAAAATACACATTTTAATGTACCAAGTCTGCTCCACGAGAACAGGGTCCCTGAAGCAGGGACAGTGGGGCTTTTGCTCAACGCTGTGACTCCCACACCTCTCACAGAGCCAATCAAGGTGTTTAATAACCATGGGTCTTTCCCGTGCATTCAGAGCAAAGGGAACAATATGAAGAGCCAGGGCATCACCGCACGCATCATCAGCCTTGTTTGGCATAGCTGCAAGTTCCCACTGGGAGCCTCGCTGGCCACATGGTAAGGATATTCCAGAGCCTCGCTGGGCTCCTATAGGGCAGACAGGGGACACGGTGGCTGAGGTTTGACCTGGGGCCCATGCTGCAAAGATGCTGGAGCCCTGCAGTCCCCAGCGGCCCCACACTTGGGGAAGCAAGTCCTAAACCTCAGCACCAGTGCAGGGGCCACTTCACCCATGTCACTGGTCATCTTGTAAAAGGAAAACAAAGCCAGATGTCACCATGGCTCGGGGGAGCAGACCTCCAGAGCTGCCACGGTGGTGGTTTCTGTTTTATTTCTCAGTCTAAAAGGGCTCTGTAGATGTCACAGCCTAGCGTCACCAAGCACTGGGAAAGAGCTCCCAATCCTGGGGTGTGACAGCAAAACCCACCCAGGAAACTGGGGGCCTGGGCAGAGATGAAGGGCCAGGCTATGCCCAGGGCCACCTGCCCTGCTGAGGTCCTGGAACTCTGTCCACACTGACGCCCCCAGGCTGAGTGGGGAGGAGAGAGGTCAGCTCCAGAGCCCCTCATCACATGCCTATCCTATCACCAGTGGGTTCTGGTATCAGCAGAGCCAGGAGCCGATGCCATTCTTTTTCCCAAATAACGAATGCACAGTTTCTGGGTTCATGCCTGGAACATCCTGGGCTGGCTCAAGGACGGGTGGCATCCTGGGCTGAGCAGAGTCCCATCCTCCATCCATCCCCTGCTGGGAGCCACCCTATTTATGACAGCCACATATGTCCCCAGACACAGCCCAGGGTTCCCCGGGGGCAGAGCCATCCCCTCCCACTTCCAAGACTGACTTACTGCTTTGGATTCCTGGCCTCTGGCCTGTCCCATCCTCTCCTTCCAGAAGCTTTGGACCGCCAGCCTTGAGGCTGTGTACCCCTCCCTCCCCTCAGCCCACTTGTCCACAGGTGACTCTGGGTTCTCTCAGCCTCAACTGCAGCTGACCTTGACATCCTCCTCAAGGGCAAAGTGACAGCTCCCACTGTCCCCTGCAAATGGATGGAAGTGGCCTTGCAAGCCCCCCCCTTCTGCTCAGATGTTCCCTCCTTGGTGACACAGAGGGCTTCGTGTGAGAGCCATGTCTCTTTATCTGAGAAGCCAGCTGGGAATGGGGCGCCCTCTGGAGGGGGACAATGAGCTGGGACAGACTGAAACACTGTCCCTTGTGTGACACACATCCTCCCCTCCACCACCTCTGTGCTGAGCTCTGTCC